CTAAATTGATGCCTGATGCCAACGTCGAAAAATTCTTCTTCTGAAAATAAACAAGAGGTATAGGTGCAAATGGTTGCCGCTGCCGATGCTCAGATGTTCATCTAAACTTTCAGAGAAATTGGTTCCGTTTGTGGTTTTAGGGGAAGGAGGTAGGGGAAATTCCAAACTCTATGAGAGAGCCTCATTGCGGTCGTATTCTTCATTCTGCAACGTGTCATAACGGAAGAAAATATAACATACAGCCAGCGGTGGTTTTCGTGTAATTTTCTACATCTCGTTTTTCAGGTTTCTTTTCTCCTAAAGAGTTTATATATGCAGGAAAGAAAACCTCAAGTGTTAAATGTAACTGTTTTTTTTTTTCGTTATTTAGATTGATTAATAACATCACCTGGAGGGTAAAAAGTGAGCTCTAAAATATACGCTACGTTCTTCTCCTAATTGTGACTAGCAAAAAACTTCATTTATAAAGGCTAGCAACAAGTGTGCTATGTACTACATGTAGTACAGATTAGTCAGTCATTTTAAGTTAGAAGCGTGTGTGATGTGAAAATATTTCTTAGGAAAACAATAACGGGATGAAATGGGAAAATAGGTAGGTGATGGGGGAGGGGATTCAAAATGGGAATATGAGGGATTCGGGCTTTGAACATCACCCTATATCTTACCGTGCGTATTATAGTGCTGCCCACAAAGCCTCTGCCAACCTCAATGACCGGGGAAAGCTTGCAGAATCTTAACGGTCCTATTAATATACTCCATAAGCTTTGTTACAGCAGGGGTCAGCTGTACGCTCACCTGTCCAATCTTTTAAGTATCTGCGCTCGTGCCACAGTTAGCGCCACCTGTGAGTTCGTGCGACATGCTGAACTTGGTCGTTGCTTGTGCGGCTGGTTTCTTTCCTGTGTTTATTTAATAATCCCAGTAAATGGTATTGTAGAATTGTACTTTTCATAATTACTTTGCTGATGTTGTTTGTGACATTAATTATTGCACGTTTGATATTGATTATGCATCAAGGCCACTTCGGTATAAAGGCAAATAGTGGTTGCAGAATTTTCAAAATGTTTGCATTAATGTGAAATGTTCTTACACGATGGTGTTTAATACAGGACTTAGCCCTAAAAAGTAATATATTTTATTTCAACTTTCATGAAAAAGCTAATCATTTAACAGAATTCTGCTTATTGTCAAAAATATATCAAAATCTGCAAAATGAAAATACCCACAAAGCAGAATAAAATATCCCCCTATAATAATAATAACCAAAATGATAACACGGGTTTGGGACTAGAACGATTTTACCTCCTCGGAGATGCCGTAACACGTGTATTTTTGCATTTTCAAGAGTTTTGATCATCAGAACAAAATGACGGAAATAAGCTCAGGTGGAAAATTGCCGAGCCAGATTATTTTGTTGTCAATAGTACTGTACATCTTTAAGAGAAGACTTAAATATTTCAGACCACCCTATATTGGCCTGTGTTGATGAATGTTTTCTCATGGCCGAGTTGTATTACTTAAGGAAAGTTATGATTTGTGTTATACTTGATTTTTTGTATGAAGCGTTCTTTTAGTGTTAAATCTAATATAGTTTGCAATATTTTCTGGCAAATTTTGTACACAAATAATTTATGTCTATGCATAAAATTTTGTTCTAATTATGCTGTATGTCTACACATAAAAGCGTTCAGCAGTAAAAAAGCGAGATGTTATTAAAATACTTAAATCAAAGTTTAAGAGGGTTTGCATGCATGTATGACAGATAATGCAAATAAAAATTAACTGTCATTTTATATCATTTTATAACATGAAGCAGCCAGGGTCAAGTAGTTTTAATGAACTGCAGATTAAATTTACTTGATACTTACGTCTCCAAAGAAATTTAGGCTTTGCTGACAAACAATAGCAGTGACGTAGAAAACACCTCTCTCTCTCTCTCTCTCTCTCTCTCAAACTATTAATTGAGACCACTGAGTAACTTTCCACGTACCTTGTTAATTCTGTGGGAAATATATTAGAATCAGCACGGGGGTTGAGCATTTGCACTGCCTCCAGCCCTACAGTCAAACTCTACTGAGCAAAAAGTTAGCCATCATGCATTTATTTCTTAGCGTGTGGCGTAATACTTATATATGTCATTATAGTGATCCATCTCCTTTTTATGATCTCAAAGGTGTGAAACACGTGTTAAAACGCATCACGGGGTTTAAGAAAATAAGTGCAAGTTCCTAGCGGTTTGAACTTGATTATGATAATAAATTAGTTGAACAATTATTTCGTATAAGACTAATTATTACGTCTGTTGAATATCATAGACCAATTTCCCACCCAGTCACAACAGGCAAGGCTAAGAGGTTAACGGTTGCTATCAACCGGTCAGTATTTTAACACTTTAAAAGAGTCTAGCAAATCTGATAGAACTGTTGTTGTTGTTCTTTATCTTAAGAGATGGTATGCAGCGTGTAGTGGATTTTTCTGCAGGTTTTCTAGCTAAGAACGACAAAAACTAAGACCGATCATGAAATTGGATAATGGCTAAGCTAATAAAACCAGTTGAGTACCACATCGCTGACACATATAAAAACGGTCCGACATTCATTGGCAATGTCCCGCTGAAGACACGTTGCGAGGGTGACCTCGGGTGTCTATGGCAGGTGCCCTGCCAGTCCACGTCAGGTGCCCTCTGATGCCCATATCAAGTGTCCTCCGATCTCCAGATAAGGTTGTCTTTGGTGTCCTCTGGTGGCCATGCCAGGTGTCCTCTGGTGTCCATGTCAAGTGTCCTCCGGTGTCCATGTCAGATGTCCTCCGATGTCCTGGTAATGTTGCCTTCGGTGTCCTCTGGTTCCCATGCCAGGTGTCCTCTGATGCCCATGTCAAGTGTCCTCCGATGTCCAGATAAGGTTGCCTTTGGTGTCCTCTGGTTTCCATGCCAGGTGTCCTCTGATGCCCATGTCAAGTGTCCTCCGGTGTCCATGCCAGGTGAACTCTGGTGTCCATGCCAGGTGAACTCTGGTATCCATGCCAGATGAACTCTGGTGTCCATGCCAGATGAACTCTGGTGTCCATGTCAGGTGTCCATGCTGCCCTCTGATGACAGTTCATGCTATTTCTGTTCATTTACAGTGTTGAATATGTATATGTATCTGTCTCACGACGTGAGTTCCTCTCCGCTCTTTTCCAGGCCCTCTTACTCCAGAACGCTTGACGATTTGATAAATGAACCATTTTTTAAATTCACAGTAATTGAATTTCTATATCTCTCTCAACTGCAGCCTATAGAAACCACCCCAAACACAATAGGTCTACAACGTTGGAGTTTGGGGTTGACTTCGAACTAACAAATTCTTCTAGCAAGGAGAGGGATAAGAGTTGCCATACATGTAATCGTAATACATGGTAATTAACGAGAGCTGTGGATGACTTTCAATTGGATAACAATGACTTATTTGATTTTTGAGAAGCACGTTTTTCAAGTTAAATATGCCCACTATCTGTGAATTTCGTAGGCAGAACCGGACCTAGACATTTGTCTTCTTCAATGGATTTGTTAAGTGCCGAGCGATTTTCATTTCTTCCACACTGCAACATTTAAGACCTATGTCTTGCAGTTTATTAATGAGCACTACTAATGCATGTTTTCTTTCTTTGCTGTAAAATATATTCAAACATCAAACTCCATAGATCTGTATTTCAAGATGAGTTGCTGTGAAAAATAATGTTCTTTCTTTATACTTTAAAGTGTTAAAATTGTAGAAAACTGTTATAATGGAAAAATGGGGAAGAGTTTCAGATGATCATTCATCTTCCCTTATTATGCTGATGGTTACAAGGTAAGCACATCGGTTACAAAGTTTCCTTCTAAAAAAACATCGAAATGTCTCAAATTATTATTCCACTTAAATACCACATTGAATTAAAACTATGACAGCACCTCGTAATCCCCCCTTCCAACATTCTGGAAAATTATTTACAATATCAGTTCTTGGGCGGGAGATTTATACCCTGGAAAATCGCCATTTAACCATTAACAAGGTATGATTGATTTCTGACCTATTCATGTACTCTCATATTAACTTACCTTCAAAATTTTCTATGCTCCGGCGCCACCCCTGCTGGTAGCGAAGACCTCACACGGATGTGCCAGATCCATTAAGACGTCTACCAATAGACTAGTTCTTTTTTCTCAAAACTAACTTATAGCGCTCGAAATCAATTACGATTCCAATGTAATTATACCAGAATGACACACTGTATTGCACATATTTCATGCAGATCTGAAAATCTTAACTACCATTGTCTGCTGCCTACCCCATGTCTATGTGTCTTAATGTACGGCGCAAACGTGAGGTATCCTGTGAAATGGCGTTAAGGGGATATCATAACAGCGATAAAAGTCTGCACATCTGTCACAATAATTAGACACAGACATGTCCTCCAAAGAAGCATTCTGACAAACAGACAGATAGAGCCAGACAGACAGATTGCAAGGTAAGGCTGTTCTCTCTCTCTCTCTTCGCTCCGGTGCATGTTTCCATAACGTCAATTTACATACGGTATACGCACACCCATTTAATTTTTTTTTTCAAAATGAAAAACGAACAGAAATAAACAAGCCACTTTCATAATCAGGTACATGGCCATGAATTCCACCTTCATTAATGGCGCATTAGCAGTAGAGTTCAGCCAATAGTCATGAATAGTTTGGCACATTTGGTGGCAGCACCAACAAATCTTCTAAAGATATTTTGGTTGCCGCGTTTCAGTTTGAATGGAAATCAGACGGCGCACCACGTCCGTGTCATTGTAGATTTTCTGGCAGCTTAAGATATCTACTATAGAATGGTTTAACTGTAATACTTTTATGAATGGCACCTGCTCTTATATATAAATGTATGTCATATGTGCACTTTTTATACCCCAAAGGTAAATGTGTTCATTATCTTTGACCCCGGCCAACCAATTGGTTTTTAAATAGTTTGGTAACTCTATCCAGATACGTAGATTTAGAAACACCTTCGAGGAAGACGCCCTACCGCGCGCGCTGTAACGTCACGAGCTTAAGCCCGCCAGCCTAAGGAGCCTCGTCTCTGGCTGAGAGTGGTTCTGTGAGGCGGATGAGAAAAACTTGACGGTGCTGTGGAGGATGATGGCCTAATTGGTACCCGTATGACCACCACTGTAGGACCCTTCGCTATGTTCCAAGTCACGTTACATCGCGACAGCCTCAATACCGCCTGGGGCTTTCGTTTGCAGGGAGGCAAAGACTTTGGGAAGCCTCTCACTATACAAAGGGTAAGCGAAAGGGCGACTGTAGCCTCTACTGATAGTAACAAAATTTAATTGTCATTCGGTTATAGTAACTCTACGCATGAAGTAGCGAGAAACTAGCGTTAAACTTCGAAATAATTTTTTTTGNTCAAGTGTCCTCCGGTGTCCATGTCAGATGTCCTCCGATGTCCTGGTAATGTTGCCTTCGGTGTCCTCTGGTTCCCATGCCAGGTGTCCTCTGATGCCCATGTCAAGTGTCCTCCGATGTCCAGATAAGGTTGCCTTTGGTGTCCTCTGGTTTCCATGCCAGGTGTCCTCTGATGCCCATGTCAAGTGTCCTCCGGTGTTCATGTCAAGTGTCCTCCGGTGTCCATGCCAGGTGAACTCTGGTGTCCATGCCAGGTGAACTCTGGTATCCATGCCAGATGAACTCTGGTGTCGATGCCAGATGAACTCTGGTGTCCATGTCAGGTGTCCATGCTGCCCTCTGATGACAGTTCATGCTATTCCTGTTCATTTACAGTGTTGAATATGTATATGTATCTGTCTCACGACGTGAGTTCCTCTCCGCTCTTTTCCAGGCCCTCTTACTCCAAACGCTTGACGATTTGATAAATGAACCATTTTTTAAATTCACAGTAATTGAATTTCTATATCTCTCTCAACTGCAGCCTATAGAAACCATCCCAAACTCAATAGGTCTACAACGTTGGAGTTTGGGGTTGACTTCGAACTAACAAATTCTTCTAGCAATGAGAGGGATAAGAGTTGCCATACATGAAATCGTAATACATGGTAATAAACGAGAGCTGTGGATGACTTTCAATTGGATAACAATGACTTATTTTGATTTTTGAGAAGCACGTTTTTCAAGTTTAATATGCCCACTGTCTTCTTCAATGGATTCGTTAAGTGCCGAGCGATTTTCACTTCTTCCACACTGCAACATTTAAGACCTATGTTTTGCAGTTTATTAATGAGCACTACTAATGCATGTTTTCTTTCTTTGCTGTAAAATATATTCAAACATCAAACTCCATAGATCTGTATTTCAAGATGAGTTGCTGTGAAAAATAATGTTCTTTCTATATACTTTAAAGTGTTAAAATTGTAGAAAACTGTTATAATGGAAAAATGGGGAAGAGTTTCAGATGATCATTCATCTTCCCTTATTATGCTGATGATTACAAGGTAAGCACATCGGTTACAAAGTTTCCTTCTAAAAAAACATCGAAATGTCTCAAATTATTATTCCACTTAAATACCACATTGAATTAAAACTATGACAGCACCTCGTAATCCCCCCTTCCAACATTCTGGAAAATTATTTACAATATCAGTTCTTGGGCGGGAGATTTATACCCTGGAAAATCGCCATTTAACCATTAACAAGGTATGATTGATTTCTGACCTATTCATGTACTCTCATATTAACTTACCTTCAAAATTTTCTATGCTCCGGCGCCACCCCTGCTGGTAGCGAAGACCTCACACGGATGTGCCAGATCCATTAAGACGTCTACCAATAGACTAGTTCTTTTTTCTCAAAACTAACTTATAGCGCTCGAAATCAATTACGATTCCAATGTAATTATACCAGAATGACACACTGTATTGCACATATTTCATGCAGATATGAAAATCTTAACTACCATTGTCTGCTGCCTACCCCAAGTCTATGTGTCTTAATGTACGGCGCAAACGTGAGGTATCCTGTGAAATGGCGTTAAGGGGATATCATAACAGCGATAAAAGTCTGCACATCTGTCACAATAATTAGACACAGACATGTCCTCCAAAGAAGCATTCTGACAAACAGACAGATAGAGCCAGACAGACAGATTGCCAGGTAAGACTCCTCTCTCTCTCTCTCTCTCTCTCTCTCCGCTCTGTTGCATGTTTCCATAACGTCAATTTACATACGGTATACGCACACCCATTTAATTTTTTTTTTTCAAAATGAAAAACGAACAGAAATAAACAAGCCACTTTCATAATCAGGTACATGGCCATGAATTCCACCTTCATTAATGGCGCATTAGCAGTAGAGTTCAGCCAATAGTCATGACTAGTTCAGCACATTTGGTGGCAGCACCAACAAATCTTCTGAAGATATTTTGGTTGCCGCGTTTCAGTTTGAATGGAAATCAGACGGCGCACCACGTCCGTGTCATTGTAGATTTTCTGGCAGCTTAAGATATCTACTATAAAATGGTTTAACCGTAATACTTTTATGAATGGCACCTGCTCTTATATATAAATGTATGTCATATGTGCACTTTTTATACCCCAAAGCTAAATGTGTTCATTATCTTTGACCCCGGCCAACCAATTGGTTTTTAAATAGTTTGGTAACTCTATCCAGATACGTAGATTTAGAAACACCTTCGAGGAAGACGCCCTACCGCGCGCGCTGTAACGTCACGAGTTTAAGCCCGCCAGCCTAAGGAGCCTCGTCTCTGGCTGAGAGTGGTTCTGTAAGGCGGATGAGAAAAACTTGACGGTGCTGTGGAGGATGATGGCCTAATTGGTACCCGTATGACCACCGCTGTAGGACCCTTCGCTATGTTCCAAGTCACGTTACATCGCGACAGCCTCAATACCGCCTGGGGCTTTCGTTTGCAGGGAGGCAAAGACTTTGGGAAGCCTCTCACTATACAAAGGGTAAGCGAAAGGGCGACTGTAGCGATAGTAACAAAATTTAATTGTCATTCAGTTACAGTAACTCTACGCATGAAGTAGCGAGAAACTAGCGTTAAACTTCGAAATGTTTTTTTGCATATTTTTCATATCTACTTTTATCTTTATCACAGTCGGCATAAACCTGTTATTCCTGAACACGTCGAAAGCAGCCAATGTATTTCGTAAAGGTGCACAGGTTGAGCACTGATATGTCAGTCATTACCTCGAATCTCTACTGATTTATGAAATGATTAAATGCGTTCTTTTAGTGCAGATAATGTGCGGCAATAAGTGCACGGAAACATGGTACGAAGTTTGCCATTTTATTCATTCAGAGTTATCTGGCAGCGGATAGTTCATTATTTATGTCTGGAATCACGTTTCGCTGGACGGCATGACAGATAAGCCTCTTTGCCCTTGAGTTTTCTTTGCTTCTTGTTCTTGAAATATCAGTATTGCGCCGTTTGCGAAAGACCAGGTAAAAACGAACGGCTGCAGAATTTCTCAAAATATCGGTGAAATATGAGCCGAGTGCTACGGAGAAATGTGCAGATACCTTTACCGCGCTCTGACGGACGCGTACTATTTAAGGGTAAACGGGAGGTAGAGTGCGGGGGATATATATTTAGAGTTATCTGATTTCCAGGTGGGGCAACGCAAGGTGCGCAGCTCTCAAAAATAGGTAAAATCTCTCAATACCGTATGAATTTATACAATGAATTAAAGCTGCAAGACCGCGGATTGTGCAGACATGCTGCGTAAGAAGGTTTTTTGTCAAAACATTGGCATATTGTTTACAGACAGACAGATCAACATACCTAGTTTTTGGATGTTCTTTGCAAGATATCACCTGTTCCCCAAAGTTCCCTAATCGCGGTCAGAGGTGAATATGCAAATTCTCTGTGGGTTGAGCAGAAATAGTTACCCTGTTTTTACCTGTGCCGGCTGGAGGAAACGTTACCGACCTCCATTTTCGAGACCAAGAGCAGCGTCTTTATAAGTAAACCGAACTCTCGAAGGTAAATTTCTCTTTTTATTAGCGCTTGGCACTCTCAGATAGCACTTGATGTTTGTTTATTGAAAGTGTAAGATGTGTTGACATGGCGTGCATCAAGGTGTCAGAACACCAATTCGACTGCTTTGCATCTGTCGGGCCACAGCAGGGAGTGGACGGCAAATGTTTTGGCTTTTCAAAGTGCTACCTTTTCGCTGAGCGATTAATTATGGAATATTAGATCCAAAGCAACATTACGCTTTTACAACAAAATATCAATAGGGTGACATACTGTCAAAAATAGATAGATAGGTAGATAGATTGATAGATAGATATACATATAGATAGATGAAGACGAGTGTATGGCAGGAAGACGGGAAGGAAGATGCGTAGACTAGAGAAATGTTTTTCTTTCCCTTATGTAGGCGTGATTTACGGGATTTAAACAGATAAGACTTCAGAACTACACCTGTGCCAAGTTCTTTCTAACTGCTGTTGGTGAATTCAATTTGGCTTACACAGTTAACCGTAGATGGAGCTGCAACACTCTAATTGCAAGTTCTATGTGCAGATATCATTATAGACTGTCTGGAATCTTTTTACGTATCCAAAAGAATTCCAAGTTAAAATTAAGCTGAATGCATCAATCATTACTTTATATAGACTCGATAGTATGCACACCTGAACGAACCTCCTAAAACTTTCAAATTCTTATGTCGTTTCTAATATGCTTTACTAGACATAAAAAACAAGGAGGAACATAAATCTGAGGGCGATAATAATTCAGTTAATCTGGAACACACCTTGCAATTCTGCTTCTCAGTGTTCTACTAAATATGTTGAGTTTTGTTGTTGTTATTTTTGTTGACGATGATGATGGTGGCGGCGTTGATAATGACATAAATAACACTAATTACAAAACGATTACAAAACGAAACTACGGCGAGTTACCAATTTAAACACAAAAAGTTTTTTAACCTCTCATAAACAACAAATGCGTGAAAATATGTTACTTTTGCTAAGAATGTTTCACCTGGGGCTGACAGGAAGAACGACTGTATAAATCATTGCATGGAGTTGCATTTAGGAAGATAAGAGGCTGTGGTCTTCCTTTGCAAAAGCAAGAGGTGTTCATAAAGTCAGACGCGGTTTCCGCTCAACCATATTCCTCCTTAACCCTCTGCAAGACTTGCTGCTATGAGTCTTCCATTCAATCCTGCAATGTTCTACTGTTTTCCAAATGTGGATGATCACAGACAGGTGTAACATGTAGCATACAGGAGCAGAATCCTTGCTTGCATTTAAGTAATATAATGTTTATTATTAGCCACAAGTGCCCTTTTCCTTCAATCGATAAGAACCATGGCTTTCACCGTGTTTTCAGTACCGTTCTTGTCCATTATAGTGCTCTTACATTGTACCGGTCAAGTTGTCACAAAAAATTTGTGTTCTAACAAATCTGTGACCTAATGAAGTCTAAGCCATTTGTAGTATGTGGAATAAAACCAGGTCGAAAAATGGCAAACCACATTATGCAATGCGTGTGGAATGCAAACAAGACGCAGGCATGTTTTTTTCACTGCCTAATGTATTCGCTGTCAATTATTTAGTTTGTGTAAATATGGAGGACAAGATGCTGCATAATACAATAACAATCTTCATGACCAATGTTCATGTTTGTAAATGGCTATAAACTATGCTATATCAACCATGAACCATCCTTTACCTACCATTCACCTGTTAGTGATATATGTTGATATTTTTGACCTTGTTCCATTAAAGCGATGGCCGTCCATCGTCTTCTGTAATCAATCACTGGCGATCTTTATTTACAAACAAAAGCAACACGTTATTCAATAACGGCAACATATCAACAGCGGTGGGAATTTTTAATAATATGTAGACCCTATAGATAAGCGCTAACATACTGACTATTCATCTGGTCTAGGTATTTACTGGCAGCCCGGCCGAAGGAGAGCTTCAGAGGGGAGACCTGATAGTGGCCATAGACGGTTATGACACTAGCAACCTAGTTCACAAGCAAGCCCAGGACCTGATTAAACGCAGTGGCGGAACACTTTCGATAACCGTACAGAGGTAAATGACGCTACTCACCAATTATTTATATATCAAGTTTTCCATATTGCAAGGCTGCATTTAATGCTGAAATAAAGCTTATGACATGTCAGGAAATGATTGACATTTGATATTCACGAAGATAAATAGCCAAATAACCACAATGATAAATAAAGAAATATACATAAGTAAAAAAATAGCTGTTTAATGACCGTGTTTGTCTCTTGGTACCTCCCTTCAAAAAATTTAACTGGACTGCATCTTGGTCAAAATATTTCTTAAAAATATCTTCTTATATTATTTATTATCTCAGAGGCGAATCGGGACGGACTCCTCCACAATCTCCAATCAAGCAGCCAAACATCCTATTTCAACAGCCAAGAGCTCCTAGTCACACCCCAGTCTCTCCGACGCATCCGGTAAGTACACGCATGCACATTTTATATTGGCTTATATATATATAATTGGTCATCAAAACCCGCTTCCCAGTCTTTTTATGCCAGACGGGCTCATAAGCCAATACCGCCCGTAAGTAGCACACGTAAATCTCAGAGACAAATTTTGATATGCACTAAAAGTGAGCTATGAATGGAGAAATTTACCATCACGATTGGTCAACAGAATTCTTTCGTGGCCCTCACTTCTTCATTCACTTTTGTCAAACTGCCGCCTATTTATATACAGTTAATAATTTCAAAATGCATTTTAGTTCGTAACAGAAGTTCATGAGTTACTACTCACGGGATATTAAAAACTGTTCAAATTATTTGTATTGGCAGGGGTTTTGTAGTATTAGATAATGTTTGTTTTGTGACAGAATTGCATGTAAATTGGATTTCAATTATCAAACAAAGTGACAACGTATCAGTAACGTAGACTGAATGATTTTTATGACGAAATGATGACGTATTAAGGACGTGTTGATGACGTGTGGTGTTCTCCATTCAGGTTCATGCTGCATCTTGGTGCAATAGAAGAGTGGCTAAATATGCAAAATAAATACCTTTCGCTGATATCGCCAACATTTACTGGATATACTGTATGCACGTGATAATATGACTATACATATACTAGTTTTACGTAGATAGCACATAACATCTTTGACCAGAGAAAGAAAAAGCTTTAACATACATAACACGGAAGCATGCAAAAAGAGCTTCCTTGTAGATATCTACCTGTATAATCTGGCATGCTTGAAACAGCCTTTCTGCCCCCTTCATCCATACTTGTTGTATAGAGGGGTATTCTCTACAAGAGAGAACTGTAAAATAACTGCCATATTGTTGTATAAATTTTCTTTTTGCTACATATTTCGACACGAACGAAAAAGCCTACATCAATTAATAAAATGTATTGCAATGTCTATAATAACTGGAGACCACCCCTCTGTAAGTTTCCCAATCCCTTCAGAAGTTTGTTGTGACACTGACGCCACTGAGGTTGTTTATGTTGTCTCATAGGGTACAATGCAAGGCATTCCAGCACCCACTCCGCCAACCCCCGAGGCGGGCATGTTTGCTGTACGAATTCCAACCTTCAAAACGTCGCCACGTGCACCACAAATGGGCACGGATTTCAAGGGCCCGAGCAGCCTTCGGGATGCCCCTGGTGTCATGATGCAACGAGTGGCAGAATCGCTGGACAAGGCATGCTTCGCGAGAACCACTTTTTCTTCACCGCGTTACCATCAGTATTGACGTCACAAACAGTACGCATAAATGCCTCATAATTAAAGACATATGGTGGCTGTGGATGACTCAACCTTTCCTCCTTTACTATGACCAAAGTCCTTTTGCTTTTGAGCACTGTACTGAGTAGATCCAACAACTTGAAATAGGCACTAACGCAGTGTAGAGTGCAAAACACGTATATCTAAACCTTTTTGTGACGTCACATGCTGTTGATTTTTGCATGATTATTATTTGGTTCGAAAGTTGGTGGATTTGTAACACCTGCATTTTCTAACTGTCAAAGATGTTCTCATTTACCCTTTTTTCAAGTATTAAATTTTTATTTGGACTTCAAAGTTTCTGGATAATCCAAAAGCCTAAAAATCGTAGACACCCTGGCACGTTCCCTGTTTACTCATAAAAGCAACCTATTGGTTACATGTCTCACCCTACTGCTTAAATTCCTGATATATGATATGTATTCATATCATGTTCATATATTATAAAGTCTATTAGTTCCAGAAACTTGAACATAATTCCTATTTATAACTAACAACAGATTTGTTCGTTCCAGGTCCTAGAATTTCTACATCGTGTTCAATTGTGGTGTTTCCTTTGCTAACAATATTTCGTGTTGAGTTAACTTATATATTAAAGTTGCTAATTTTACAGACCACCAGTGTCAATCCAGCGCATGCGTGACATGTTTAGAACGAGTTGTACAGTTTACCCAAGTTAGGCCACCAATTCATGTTGCAGGCATGCAAAAGTACTTTTCTGCCATAAACAGGCGTAGGCCTTCATGTAGTATTGAAACTGTTATCGTTATGACACGCTTTCATTGCCATTCGAGCATTTGGCTTGATTTTAAATGCATCAAATAAGAATTTAAATGTTAAATGATAAAATATATCGGTAAGACTGGATATGACAAGCATGATTTTTTCTCCTTAAACAGATGATAATATTAGGCATGTTATCCTTGAGCTGAAAATGACGTCATGCATGATGTGAGCCTCGTTCTGACGCCAAACATGATGTTATCTTTGAGTAGGCAGTGATGTCATGCATAATGTAAATATCTAGCTGACGTCACGATGTTCTGCTCTAGACGACAATGGCATCATGCATGACGTTATCCTCCTTAGGTATGATGTAAATCATTATGTCTGACGTCAGGCATGTTCGCGGGTGTAAGTGATCTTGACATTTTCCCTTCTCTAGAGTCTCTACAGCCCTCCACCAGCACCAATGCCGCAACCAAGGTACCACAAATTCAGACCGGCACCCGCCGCTCCGGTCTCTCCACCTCCTTTCATCAACCCTGCTGTCTACTATCCTCCTCAACCGCAACAGCATCATCCGCAACAACAACAACGATCTCTTCAACAGATGCAGCCACAGTTTGAAAGTATGCATGTGTCAGCCCCGGAACATCACGCACCGCCTCCATTCGCCGGCGGACCACCACCCGAAGATGAAATTGACTATAGCTTTATGCAAATGCCGGTTTCCGCGAGGAAGCAGGCGTTCATGCATAAGGAACAAGCTGCACGTAAGTTAAAGTTTTGCAGTTCTTTTGGCATCTTGATTAAGCACGATTAAGGCACCTTTAATCATTCAGCAGGAGATTAAATGTCATCTGAAAGTTATTGTAATGCTTACATTGTTGGTAATGCAGTGTTTTAAATTTTTTTTGTATTTCATCTTTTTTGTTAACCTCTTAGTAGTATAAATACGTTATTTGGCTGCCTTTCACCATTCTCTACTTTACCTTGAAAGTGCTTCTTTTTCTTGCTTGGTGTTCACCCTTACCATATTCTAAAATGTCGTAAATCATTTTAAAATTTAAATGCAGACAGGAACGTTGCGGTCTTATCTCCAGAACAACATTAGAAAGCACCACGTTGTCTTACGAAGTGGCAGATGATTTATCTGAATCGCAGAAATGAATGTTAACCTAACATTGTTGGTTGGCTTCCTGACATATAAAAACCGCAACAGCCTATTTTCGTGGTTTGAATATTTAAAAGTAAATATCCCAAAAAACAAAATAAAGATCAATATGAAGTCAAACTAAAGTGCACATGTATACCATATCTTCATTTCCCCCTTCCTAGACCCATACCAAGGCTACAATGATGACGTGGACTACTCATTTATGGAAAAACCGGTGGCGTTGCGAAAAAAAGCATTTATGAAAGAGTCGCCACGTAGCAGTAAGTGGGCATGGGCTTTGCCTAGAGTAGCGGTGTATAGAGCTAGCAGGATAGGATCTTAAAAAGGGTTTAGAGATTTTGGGGATAGTTTTGGGGAGGTGGTTTTAACTGAGTACATGCAGGCAAATAGAAGCCACCCCTACATGCATCGGACCTTGACCAGGAATACTTCCCGCGCTTCAATATTTTCCATACGGATCGTAGGGCAAGCCTAGTACAAGAACGACTTTCAGATGACCGTGTGGAGTTTATCTGGGGTTGTTTTCGGGGATGCAGATAACCTTGGAGTTAGGCTGTGAACATACCTGCTAAAGCTAGTAGTATGTCGCTATGCACTTTAGGCCACGTTTTTGTAGAAGCTTCTGCATGCATTTGCTATATAGCTCATTTTGGTTTGTATGCGATTGCTGGAGCTGCCAGTATGGGTGTGCATAAAGCTAAATGATACAGACTACATATTGGAGCAGTGTGGTGACAAAGGACGGGGATGCGCATCGCCCACTGCCATTCCACTCATTCTATTCTTGGTTCTTATATATTTAACCCTTTTGTTACTTTGAAAAAAGCATTTTTGTTCAGCCCACATTTCTATGTAATTTTCCACTTTGCCTTTTTCAAATCAATCCACTTAACCCCTCCCAACCAACCTACTTTCACTAGAGTTCCCATTTCGTTTACCAGTCTTACTTTTCAGTCAGGTAATCAGATGCAAGAGGCATGGTTCCTGTGCAATCACCAAAGTCATAATACCAATATTCTCTTGGACCATTAGAGTATGGTGCAGTGTATTTTTCCTTTTGCCTCCACCAACCACGTTCCTTCCTCCAGTCCGTTTTAAAACCAATGTCTATCAAAACACGGGTATCTATCGGTTATATTAGCTGTGCATATTTGTTCTGCTGAATTTACATGGCAGTCATATATCGTTGTGTATGCTTTCAGGGGTTTTCGAGGAGGATACCAAAAATGGTAATGTTACAGTAGTTAGTGAAGTTTAACCTTTAGGTTACCCTATTTAGTAGTCTTGAGAACCTTCCGTCTTGCAATATCGTATTTTGCCAATCTATCGGACATCACTTCTTTCAATCATTCAGAAAGGCCAATGACCCCTTTCATCTTTCATTCGTTCGTAAATCTTTTGTCGCCTTCCTTAATTTTCCGCTCAGTCTGAACTACCGGATTGTGGTTCTTCCTTTCTTATCTCCCTTGCCTTTTTATTACTAGTAAACGTATTGCTCTGTATATTGTTTTTGTCTTACAACCATCCAACTTCTGCATTCTTTTTCCTTTCTTCTTTGCTATTTGGGTCTATTCCTCACACTTGTCTCATATTGTATTCAGAGTGCATCTTGTGGATGTATGGTTCTTCCCTTGTACTCAATAGCTTTTAGATCCCCTTTTAAGAAAATTTGTAACATAAAATTTGATTTTCTTTAATTGTCACTAAAGTAAAACAATCCAATAAGTCTTTTCGTTTCTGCGCGCTTTGTAACAATATTCAACTAATGTATGGGCATGATCTACGTTTGTGCCTGCAGAACACTGGCGGGACGGATGGTACGATATAGGAGATGCGTACTACGACTGGTTTAAACAAGAGTGGCGGATGCAACACCACTTAATAGATCCACATATACCCAAACCCCCTCGTAAGTCTCGACACATTCATAACAGGCTGAATCAAATATGCATTTTTGAGAGCAACTATTTTAGAACAGCGAATACTGAAATGCAGTAATAGTGAAAACCCTCTTCCTCTTTTGTGAGTATTCGTGCATGTATTGTAACGAGATGAACAATCTCATGATGAGTAGGGAGATACTTATATATATATATATATATATATATATATCTTAATTTTTAAAATGATAATCTGTACAGATCTCCATGATAATGGTCTCTTGAATTTTGTCTCCCAGAGGTCGGGACGCCGCCACCAGATAAGCCGTATGTCTATGACAGTGTCAAAAACAGAGCCAAAGGGTATCAGGACTGGCTGAGTATGTTGTGTCCAATTTCTCTGTGCTTGGCTACTGAATCATGGCATTTACCTTCGAATCGTTTATCCTCATGAATACGTTTTGCACAACCTCTTACGACTCTTTGATTGGGGTGTCTTTCGCCTTGACCTTTAGGAAATTTGCTCTTTGGTGTCTCCAGTTCTATCAAATATATGCCCATGTATCCGTGGCCTCAAGAGAGACCTCACCCAGCTCCCCAAAGGCCTACACAGGACTTTTCTAGGTCTGCGTGCCACATATCTGTTTATAAGTATCTCCGGTCCAGTATCTTGTTTTGAAGTATATAGTATCGTGTCTTAAGTCCTACTTTTTCCTCTTCCTCCTCTCCTTCTTATGGGAAGTTTTTCACAGCTTATCACAAATAGCAATTCAATGGCCCATCTTCCCAGTTCCACAATATTGAGATGTGGTTTGTGCGAGTAAAACAGAACAGAATGCCTCCCTCCTCACGTGTGCATTTTGGCGAACAGAAAGGGGGAATAAGCACATTACAACACGATGCACGTGTCTAATGCAATTTTATATTTCTCTTTTCAGATCTTTCTGATCCTGCTTTGCAAGTTACTGTTCCGCATGCTTGTTGCACAGATTAAAAAGTATTATTCTGTATGAAGAATGAATGCACTGTTGGAAATTATACTGGAATACTTAAACGTGTTCATGCTTCAAGTAGTCCCAATGGACTTCAATATTCTTTGCCATTCACATACAACGAAGTTAAATTCATAGCACTTCACTTTACGCCCGTCATTCTAGTTCGTTATGATAAAAACGTTAAAACGATTAACCATATGGCATTAACAAGCATTCCTTGCAAATGGCCTGAAAATCTTCAAAAGGTTCTTAAATAGTTTCGATATCATTTGGAGTATGTCAATATATGCATAATTTTTATTAGTATATTTTTCATAATGTTTCATTGTGTTACATGAAATAAACAACTGCATTTCACTTTGAACAATTCAATAATTCTCCATTTCCCTCTCCAGCCCAGCCTAGACGTACTGGTAGACGACCTGTCATCCGCACCGATAAGTCTGCTTCTGACTTCACTGGTTGGTCTCCAGGACACGATGCCAACAAACCGTCCCCCAGGCGCCAGTACGAGCCAGCTTACCAATACGAACCACCTGTCAACCGAAAGCCACCACCTCCTCCTGTGCCTGCCAAGCCCCAACACCACGCACCAGCACCGGCCCCTGCGGCAGAGGAATACGAGGAGGGTTCCTATGCACCAGCATGGCGGGGAACCCTGAAGTCGGGCGCTAGTGTGGGTAGGCCATGGGAAGTGAAACAACCAGCAGGTGGCGCTGCTCATGCCTCGCCAGGTGCTCCTCAGTACAAGGCTGTGTCTTTCTCTCCATCCCAGCCGGCCGTCAGTCAGCCGTTCTCCCCTGGTCACCACGCCGGCCCGCCCGCAGGTGGAGCGTCAGGCACCAGAGTAGAGACAGTACAAGGCCATAAGCAAGGTCCCACAGCAGCGCACTTGCAGTTCAACTCACCTATGAAACTCTACTCGACTGACAATGTTAGGCAATCAATGGAAGGACAGCTTCGGGGCACTGGAGCCGAGGGAACCATGCAGTAAGTAGCATCATTAATTCCGCCAAGGAGGTTATGTTTTCACCCCTGTTTGTTTGTTTGTCTGTCTGTCTTTCTGTTTGTCATCAACATAACTCAAAAAGTTATGGATGAATTTCGATGGAATTTTCAGGGTAGGTCAGAAATGGGTTAACTTAGAAGTGATTAGTTTTTGGTGGTGATCTGGATCACCGTCTGGATCCAAGATTTTTTAAAGGATTCTTTATATATAGTCTATTTTTCGTTATGATTACTGATTTCATTTTGATTTGAAGAAACGAAATAAAATGCTTTAAAGAGAAGTATTGTTGCTGAGAAGTATTATTGTCTCCTCTAACAAATAAAGACGTTCGAGATAGTATGATAGGGGGAACTGAGCTGCCTTGGCGGAGGTCTGCGCTCTCTGAGTGCTTTTCTAGTTGTCGGTGGTTATTTTATTCCGTCCATTCGATTACTCTATATATATATAGTGACCCCAATATTACAAATACGTGGCAAAACATCCCCCAAGAGCTAGCATGTTCTTTTTTCTTTTGAAAACGGTTCCAAAGAATACAGTTCCTACTTATACCCGTGCTCTTATATAAGTATGAGGCGTCCCAGGAAGGCACCTTTGTTTGGAATGTAGCTATTATTACTGAGATTAATCCAAGGGTTTGTTTTTGGAAGCTTCCCCAAACTACAACATCTCAACGTGGCAGTTCAGTCGTCACAGACTGCACAGCAAACTATGGTGCACCACGCTGCGATGCGAACCAATACAATACAATACAATACAATACAATACAATACAATACAATACCTTATCACGCCTCTTGTTATCAGAAAACAATGAAGTACAAAACTGAAGAACTTTTTGTCTCTTTGCAGAGTTGCTGGCAGTGCATCTCACGAGCCTGACTACACCCAATCAGCCGTGTACAGGATGGTTCACGAAGAACCAGGCAAACAGACAACCATGGACGTCAAACAATCAAGATCTTTCCAAACTTTAACACACGTTGTCAGCGACGACGGTGGAGTGGACGCCGTGTCAGACTTCTAAAGACTTCACTGAGGCGACAAACTCGAGCGTGCAAGCTGAGAAGATGAAGACGTGGCAACATTACGGCGGGGCAGCATCTGGCGTTGAAGAAGTTGAAACTGCTGTACATGTCCGGAGCTCTGATATCATCATCATGCGCTTTCAAACCCATTCTCCCCAGTACTCCCAAAGATGGCGCTCAGAACCTCCCTATTATGTGATGTCCTGGAGATGAATTTACGAAGCTGATAGTTTTGTGTAACATAACTTTTAGGGGCTTTCACATTTATCTCTATCTTTGCCTATGGTATAAATCATAAGTATGATAGTGCTTCCGTAGGGGGTTTGTGTGCTAAAAGGAGACATATTTTAGACGAATTTTACAGCACGTGGTATTACATTTTAAAGTTTGGAATGTTTTGTAGACAATTAGAGTTAAAAGTCATTGAGAAAGTAATGCCAAAACATTTAAGCAAAATTAATAAAGGCCAATGTGATCCGTTTCTATGAACATTTTTAAATTTATATAATCCTTTTCCTAATAAACACGGGCGGGAACGTGCAATATGAGTTTTTAAACCCTGTGTATATGTTATCTTGGGCGTGGTCAGTCATAGCTATTAAGTCGGAGATCAGATATAATTTGGTTCTATATTTATTATGCTTGAAAGGTTCACAAACTTTGTGTTATGTGATATTAGTGGCGCTGCCAATTTAGATAATTTTTGTAACCGTTTCTTTACCACAGCAGTATACTTGACGTTTCAAATGCTTGTTGAAACCATATACCCACACGCTGTTGAATGTGACGTCCGAGGCAGGTTACGATGCAATAAACGCTCCATCGTTTAAATATTTGATTTTGTTCTAAATTTTATAGCAAATCGAACAAACATCATCCACTGTCGAATGTGACGCCCGAGGAAGGTTGCGATGCAATAAACGCTCCATCGTTTGAAAAGTAAATTTGTTTAACATTTAAAAAGAAATCGAACAAATATTATCTGCCGTTGAATGTGACGCCCGAGAAAGGTTATGATGCAATAAACGCTCCATCGTTTTAATATGTGATTTTGTTTTTAATTTATAAGCAAATCAAATAAATAATAGGTCACGTGTATTACCCGAGACGTGGACTTTGGAACGAAAATATTAGGAACAAATCTAAAGAGATTATTACAAAAAAAAAAAAAAAAAAAAACTTTTTAGAAAAAAACCCCAAGGAAAAATTTTGAATGTCGGACTGGATTCATTAACCATTTGTTAGTATGGGGAAATAGACGTTTACTACAGGAAAATCGTTTTTAAACAGAACAAACAGTAGATATCCCTTAGTGTCAACAAGTAACTTTGGTCCATACTTCTACGTTTGATCGAGAACACCAAGACTAAATTCTTGGTACTTCGCCTTTTTTGTCAATTATCAAAAGCATTATTAAAACCGTCATCACTCGTCTAATATACACACTAATGCGAAGGAAATGAAAGCATAATCAAAAGCGTAATCAAAAGCGTATTTACTGCATATATTAATTAAACACACATAAATATACCTAGTGAATAATAACTTTAAAACAATATACATGTATATCGTAACATAAAAACATGGAATATAGAAACCAACTTTATCCGAGAACGAAAAATTATATGCAACGCAAATAACCCTTGTCTATGTGAAAGGAATGAACAAGCTGACAACACGCCAGTATATGAAATGAGTATTTTGATAATTAGTCTTTTTGAAACTATAAATCACAAATAACCTTACACGTATATTAAGCACTTTCTGACAGTATTACACTCGTGACTTGATCAAATCAAATCCTCTGACAGATACAATTTCAATTTAAAAAAGATTGCATCATAAATATTGCTAATATATGTTATTGCACTGGTATGTCTCTTGCTCACATCAACAGAATCCTTCAATAAATATAGGAATACATTATTGCGTAATAGGTAATCTCTACAAATATTTATAAATATTACAACACTACCTAACTATTTATAGATTTTCGCTCTGATATTTCATTTTGAAAAAGTTTTTAACTTCAGCTTCAATGCCTGTACAAGTCTCCCAAGAACATTTTGCTGCAGTTACACAGCTGCATTTTTATAATTCACCAAAACTGAAAACAAAGTATTTTGTATAATTTTCATTTTGCAAATATAACAATTAATAAATTATTTTTATTCCTCATAACTATCTGGACAATTTAAAATGCAATAACAGAAACTGTACTTTAAAATCTTATATGCACCTACTTAGTAATTTCTTAAACAAAACAAATATTTGGCACATTTTGAAAAAGAAAGCATTTGTAGTCCATACATTCTACTGCACTGTAAGGCTATATCCTCTTGCAAATGTGTCCATGAATGAACCATCGATTCATTTGTCAAAACAATCTAACAAATTCTTCCAATTCTTTTATCTAATTTGTAAAGTTACAATAAGCACAGAAAGTACTTCCAGAACAAAATAAATGGCCCCGTTACTTATTCGTTTAAAATCTGCTTGACCTTTTTAATCATGCAGCTACTAAAATTCAATCTTGCATAGAAACTGGAAAACAAAACCAATACCTTTCATCACTGGAAGACAAATCACCATAATTCCAAATATTCATATAAGGCATTGCATTAAAAATTAAATTGTTATAACTTTTTAAAAATAATATTGACAACACACCAACTCTAGTGGAAGACTGATTATGCAATTAATGAGCTTTCCAGAAAATATCTAACTATAACAAGGATTTTAATTTATGCAATGTGAGCATATACAGTATGTGACATTCTAATACCTGTCTGTGACAGTGTAGTATCTATTTTGTTTTAACGTTCTTTAATAAAACAATGTGTTAGATGTGACAATGCATCAACAATGAATTTCAAAATGTTTTACATGAGACACCTGTAAGAATTCCCATTAAAAATATCTGTCTACATAGATCAATACAACTCTGAAGGGACTATCACTAAATGTTATCAGTTTAACAGATTAACAAGGCTCCTCTTCCTGTTGAGTAGAATACAGAAAAGCTGGTAATTATACGAGTATATTGGAAACAATAGGAGGCATGTTAATCTGCTAATCTGATTGCATGTAATCTACATTATTCCTTAAAGGGATAATAACTCTTCGTATGAGATCTATATTTCACAATAAAAACATTGTGGATAACTCATAGAAATATAATATATTCTGCTTTACCTCAGTTATAGCTATTATTCTGATATCTGAGCTTGTCTTTAGACCACGTGACCTCCATTGATGGCTATACTCTGTTAAAATCTCTTAAGAGATTTTAACAAAAAAACCAAGCTTTTTAGAAAAAAAACCAGGGACTAACTTTGAATGTAAAAATGGACTCATTAACCATTGGTAAGTATGGGAAAATTGTTATTTACTCCAGGAAAATTCATTTTTTGGCCAAAATGAAGAGTTATTATCCCTTTAAACTACTATTTCAATGAATTTTCTTATCAAATCAGAATGTTTACTGTGTGTTAATAAGAATGTGATGAAGTACAGAGTACAACTGACTGTTTTTGCAATATTTAATCCACTTTATCAAAGGTTTCCTCTGGCTCTGTGAAATGTACAGTAAACAGCTGGATGGATTTAAGCGCCTCACAAAGACTGCTGGGAAGAGGATTCTCCAGAAGGTTGACTTCATGCAGTGATGTCATTGTGTTCAGCTTGTTAACTTCCACATCTGAAATACACCGCAAAGGAAATGTGTACTTTTACAATTAAGCTCGGGCTCATTCCCATTGAAACTATCAGTTTATGTAGATTGATCGATCTATTCAACTCTGTGGGGACTAACGCCTATCAATCAGTTTAACAGGTGTTGAGTAGAAAACAGAGATGCTGGTGATTATACAAGTATATTGGAAACAAAAAGAGCGTGTTTATCTGTTAAGTAAACTGAATGCAATATTCATTGAGAGTCCTTGCGAAGTTGGATCGATCTACCTAGACCTGTAGTTTCAGTGGGAATGAGCCCTTAGACATCAATTCAACAGTTCTAAACTTTTTATGTTTGAAGTGAGGTATCAAATCAAATTAAATAGGCTGCTCTATGCACTAAATCTTTAATGGGTATAATATGTGATGAAAGATATTGCATAATACAGGTTTGATTGCATACGGTACGTCTATTTTGATGCATAGAAGATTTTAGAAATACTGGAACATTACCTATTAAAGACATTCTTCCATTATTTGATCACTGTAATTAACATATCCATTGGCAAAACACCCCTAGTGAGTCATTTTCATCATTTTTTTTTTGTTTTTTTGTCCTAAAGCTTGTTCTTTATCATGAAGTTATCCTAGCTAGGTTTAGTTATTCAACCATTAATTTTGGTCTTTAAAAGATACCTACAGTATTTTGGAGTTTATGGTTCAATAGGATAATAAGGTTTGACAAATTCTGAAAAATGATACTCTGCTTTTCTTTATGTCCCCCAAAGATTCTATTTTATACCTGTGATGATGTTTTTCTCAGCATTGATGGTGGAGAGAGAGTTGAGCTTGTAGATGACTTTGGGAAGAGTAGGGAAGTTGTTGTGAGAGATATCCAGTGTCTTCAGTTCTGTCATTTCCTTCATCTCTGCTGGAAGATCCACCAGGCGGTTACTGCACAGATTAAGTTCTGCAAAATACAAAAATATGTGATTGGCATACCTCATTAACAGAACATATGATTCATTAATTTCTCTCTCTGTCTTCTCTCCCTGTAGCTCACAAACAGACACTCTCACACACACACACACACTGGCCTTTTGCCAGTCATTTTAAGTTTTTTCTCATTGAGAAAGGGGACCTCTTTCCCTTCAAACCTCTCCCCCCCACTGCCACATACACCTGTCCTGAACTAAAATGGAAATTATAAGTACAGAAGCAAGAGGGTCTGTATACATAATGATATAGTAAGAAACAAAGACATAAAATCCAGATTATTGATAAATAAAAAAAATAAGAAAACTATAACATTTTATTGCCTCATTTTAAACAAATCCATCATTAACTTGGTAAACTTTTTAGTTATATGTCTAAAATAAGCAAACAATGCACAACAAAAAAAAAATAAGGGGGGCATGCTGAAAATTAAAAGATGCATATTAAAGAAGTATAGAGTACACTGTAATAGTTATACTGTTTTCAAGATCCCTATTAACCCAGAGATAGCTGGAAGCAATTTATCTCCCCAAAAACAGCAGCTGACCTAGAACATATTTCAATTAGTTGCTATGGCAACACAGGTATTTCTTCCTGCTCAAGGTGATCTGTTCTTGCTGTTTCAGGGGCACATGCCAAAATTTCAATACCAAAGGAAATGGCAGTTGCCAGGTAGTCAGGTATACAGATGAACTGATAATCTTTTAGTGAAAATGAGAAATGAAGTTTATTTGAGATGGACCCACTGCTGTGCCTGTTTTTGTAGCATATTTAGACTGACATTTGCTGTTTGCCAGCTGTTGGCCAAGAACCATTTTCAACTCCTTACACAATATGGAACCCCTTCCAAGTATTTTTTAGGCATCCTGCACATAAAATCCACCAGTTTGGTTTTTTTTCTTATTTTAAAATAAATTTCATCAATTTGTTTTCTGCTCTGTTTTCTCTATAAGACTAATTCTTCTAAAATATTATAGATCACATAAAATGTTGTTTGGTGGAAGGATTCATGCAAAACATGATCGATTTCATAAAAATTATGCACACAGTGAAGATCTGTTTATATTCACTTTGTCATGAATGATTTCATCACTTGTTAATCTAATATTCATTCCTCTTTAGAAGGCATAAAAACAACACTGTAAACAACAAACATATATATATGTCAATGGAATACATATGAATTACCTGTTAAATGATTGAACTTAATACCAAGTTTGGATGGAATTCTCTTCAGCACATTGGCAGACAAATCACAGCTCTCAAGTTGGATATGCTTCATGAGGAAAAACACAGCCTCTGGCACCATCATTAAAGAACACTGGGAAAGATCTGAAACAAAATGATGATACCGTAAGAAAGGGTCACAAATCACAAACACATTTATTATGCATTTTCTTATATTTCATATTTTCTCCAGAGATGTTGACTCAAAATGAACTTGTGATAAATATTATCTTAATCTAAGATTAATCACAAAAACTTATATTTTGTTAACTGAAAAAAGTCTTCAGTGGTGGTCAAGGAACTAATATAATTCCATCTGAGTCAGAATTTTTACACATTTAATTTTATTTTCTGTTGTCTACAATTAGTTTGATTAGAATTATTAAACAGATTAGCTGACAAAAAAGAAAAAAAAAATTAACTCGCCATGTATGTAAAAATTGTTAATACAATAACTGCACAGTATCTATACAATGATAATATTGTTGATGTTTATACAGGAATGCAACCTGCATTTGTAACCACATAAAAGTACAACTGCTTAAACAAAGATGCTTAACTTGACATGGTCCCTTTACCTAAAATCAGTTACACACAGTTCCAATTTTCACATGCCAATTCCATATGTTACACAGTGTAAACAGGTGAACAATGTGGGCACACATCTGCTGTTGGGATTTAGCATGCAGGGCATATCAAGTTTGCACCTTATTTGGTCAAAACATATGCAGGTAATTTGACACCTTAAAGGATGAAAGGAAAACATGCAGCCGACATATCATCCTAATTGTGCTCAAGACGGTTTTTCTTTGAAGAACTTAACTGATTTCTGAAAATGACCCTGGCAATTTTTTAGAGAAAATATTTTTTGAGAAATACAATGCATTAATTATGAGAGCTCTAGAATTACATCTTACAGCTATACACTAAAGAAAGTAGTTTCTTCTTCAGGCCTACCCAACTACCATACTCGGCACCTAAGGGTCCTGAATTAAGCGGTATCAGGGGCGGATCCAGAGATATTTTCTGACAGTCTTCCAAATAATCTTTGTTAATTCGTCCTCAATTTTTGACCGTCTTCCGACAGAAAATATTAGATACCCGTAAATGTAAACTTAAAAATCTGACCGTCTTCCGGAAGACCCAGAAGACGGCTTAAATCCGCCCCTGGGTATATCGGACCACACTACCCGTTTTCAAGGTGTGTGTCAGATCGCATTTCAGAGTATCAGCCAGAACACCGACAGGATGAGCCCACGCTCGGCTGTCACCTTGATTGGATAGTAAACGATTGTCATAAAATGGCTATATGATTTTAAAACCGGGCGCATAAATTTGAAAGCCACCTAGATGAACCTTAGACTGCCACATTAATCTAATACAATGCAAAAAAGCCCTATCAAAAGTGGTTAAAACATTCAAACCGAATGTCGTAAAGTCCCCATATATCCCCATAGAGACAATAAAATAGGGTACTCTAAAGTAAGAGTACAGTTTAAAGTTGTTCAGCCGAGCGTGGATGAGCTCGCATTCGTGCTACAAAATTTATTCTGGGGTATGATACACCGAAATGCGATCTGAAACACACCTTGAAAAACGGGTATCGTGGTCCGATAAACCGGTTAATTCAGGATCCTTAGGTGCCGAGTCTGGTAGTTGGGTAGGCCTGTTCTTCTACTCCAAAGTAAATTTATAAACAGAAATAACAAATACCAAAAAGTAAAATTTTCAGCATGCCTACTATACAAGTAAAATCCCAAAGTGCTCCCTTGTCCATGTGGCAGTTCTACATTTTAACTAAAAAAAAATAAAATAAAAATCAATCGCCACTCCAGTGCTGTTGGATACAATTTAGGCTTATTCCATCACATATAACCTCACTTACACACATTCTTCCATGGTGTACTTTAAAATCTACTGCACATATGATGCTTGTGACATTCTTTTCCCTTTGCTTTCTAAATAGTATTCTTAACTACTAAAATGTTTATTCAGAATAAAAACCTGGTATGTGAAGAGGCCTCCACCCCCTGTGAACATAGAAAAATAAGCTGCTTTTATCTCTTCTTTTCTATGCATAGAGAAACTGAGCTACTGATGGGTGAGGAAACAGTTTAATTAGTTCTTATGCAAGTTCCCTGTAAATTGTGCTGCTTACACTTAATACATGCTTCTGTTTATTCAAATTTTATACAAGGCAGATGAGCATCATAAGCTAATTAAGTTGGTCAAGAGTTGGAGTGGCCTCCAAAATATGGTTTCATTTCAAACTTAAAATGGAATTTTGACATTGTAAGGTGACTGTTTTTACTTCGTTATATATCATAAAAAGTGCAACTTTACCTATCAAACTAAAAATTAATAAAAAACAAGAGGCACCAAAATTGGCAAAAGTATATATACTGCACAGCATGCATGTGCACATTTAGTTTTAGCAAGACTACATCCAACACATCATTTGTGATTCTTATTTTACTTCATTTATCTTTTCATTTCTGTGAAAAACTGTAAATTGAAATATCAGATTGCCATAAGTGAATAATCTTAGTGACCACTGTCCAGTCCTTGGTGTTCTCTTTGCATACATTTACATGTAGAATACATAAATCTGAAATAAATGCAATGCTACATATCCTCTCTGATATAACATTATTTCTTACATGGAAAGTTCTCCTCTCTTTATTGGCTTTCACGTAAATGGTAAAATAATTGTACAGATAAAAGAGGTCAACAAGAAAAATATAAAATATATAATATGCAGTACATGGTGTCTAGCGGTATAGAGCTCCTTTTTGCGGCAGATGAAAAACTCATCTAAAAATCTCTCAAAACATTTTTAAACACTGATCAAGCTGATCTCAGGAGAGGAGTGATCCAGTCATTCCAGTGGTAGAGAGGAGTGATCCAGTCATTCCAGTGGTAACTACTTCTGACTGTGGGTCAGTATTCAATGCACAGCAAGACTCACTACTATGTACGTACGTGTGTATATTGAGATTTCTTTAATATTTTATACACATCACATATCTTATCCAGGTGGGAGCCCCCTCAACCTTTTAACAACTTCACAGCATTTGTTTTCCACATCTATACACCCCTAGTGCTCCATCTTCCGAAAAAGATGGGAAAACACATTTTTATGCCTACATGCAGAACCATGTTGAAAAATACATGTACCTTCAATCATGCAATTGGATAAGGGCAAAATCTGCATGGAAGATAAATTTTTGTCTGCCCTTCCCCACTTATTGCCATCTTGGATATACCTGTGCGGTACATATTTGACTTGTTCTAAATTGTAGACATTACAATGTACCAGCATCTTATTATATTGAACCTGCTGTGTGCATTATTTTATTTCTTAATTTACTTGATAAAAAAAGTGCCAAGGACAACTTTAAATGCAAAGGAAAACGTGTACATTCTGAATGTGATGTATCCTTGCAGGGATAGACATACATCCACCGATATCGCTTTAAATTGCATTTTCAGGGTTTTCATGGCAAATGTATACACCTAGGTAGGACAGGTAGTACAGTAGGAAGCCACATCTACCTGGGCTTATAATACTTACATGTATCACAAATATTTATTGCAAGAAGAAAAAAAAAATGATCCTGCTATATTCATTGTGGACACATCATTAACGTATATCGATACTTGCCTAGTCTATTCTCTTCCTTTGCAGCCTGGCATCTCAGAGCGACTCTCGCGACTTCCTTTCCTGCGGTTGCCATACTTGCTTTTGAACATAGGAGAAGACGTCGGTCTATTTACATGGCTCACGTTGCTTTGTTTTGGTTTACAGGGCCGCTTAGCTACACTAAATTTACATAACATGTATTAGACCATGCGGGGCAAATTAAAAAAATAAATAATAATAATAACTAAAAAAAGAAAACAATCTGGCAAATAAATAAAGAAGCATTTATTGGCACTTAACAACATGTTTAAGAGAGACAAATCGCTAGTGTATTTTATGAGGCAAGCGACATTTGTTCGGCTGCAGTTCTACGAATGCGTTGGAAGGATAGAATTCACAACGTTAAAACGTGCTCGTGCCTCACCGAGTCCAAATAATGACATGCATTCACGCTCACTCACTGGTAACATATAATGGTTCACTCACACAGACGTTTGAGTTTTAAATGGTGGAATATACCACCGTTCACCGATCGTCCAGCTTGCAGCTCGACTAAAATCAAAGGCCACAGTGCGTTAGCTGCGACAGTGACGGCTCTTTCCCCAACAACACGAGTGTGATAATAATCAGCAGGCTGTTTGTCTCACTGTTCCACATTTTGCTTAGTCATTGTTCTACGTGGTTAGGGACAGTGGTGCAATAAATAATGAAAGAATCTTGAGAGTGCTGTGAAATGAGAAAATCCCCAACCTGTGAAAGCAACTAACCTGAATCCACACTGTAACAGCACTTTGGTGTGGTCAATGGTGTGGATGCTTCTCATCCATACCTTAACACAATTAATAAGGTACTGGTACAAATTATGTGACATAGCTACTGATGAAATTTAAAATGGTCACATATTTATGTTACTTCTTAATATTCATCTACCAATATAATAAAAATATTTTCTGCTGACTAAAAGGCCAACATTTCATGATAAAATGCATCTTAAAGATGTCGAATATGTTCAACAGTTTTTCCCCCACCCATGGTCCAGTCAGTCTTCTGTGCCAAAACTGTCTCCAACTTAATTGTTAAAAAGACTGCCTCCCTGGCATGTTTAATTACATCCCAGCTTAACACCTTGTATGAAATATCCTCCAGTCCTTGAAATATGATTCATGGTGGGTTCTCTGCATGGACGTAATTTTTGATCACGTAATCTGAAATATTTCCGAACAAATCACAGCTTCAGGAGAGAATCCTTAAAGTGATTACACTGCCTGGTGATGCCTTGTCCAGATACTCAGCTGTCATCACTTTGCTCTCATTCAAAAATCAAGCATCTGGAATTCAAAAACCATCTTAGTAATGCGTAATTTATCATGCTTTTCAAATGAAATAATTTATGTTAACAATTTCTTAAACATTTTGCAAACCCCTTAACAAAGTAACAAAATAACTACATAAGATTAATAATAAATAAAAATCTGTTTTGTTTTAGGTTTTCACATTTCTTCATCTTACTAATTGTGGTAAAATCTTCTCAAAATGGTCCACTCCGACAACTGTTGTTCCTTCATTCTATAATTACAGAAGCGTGAAAATGGGTGTTTTATAGAATAAATGTAACAGCTTTTAAAATAAACTTTGTTTTGATGTCAATGCATTGGGTAACGTTTTTGCTTTAGCTTTTGCTAAAGCGACACTGTCATAGAGCTGCTAGAACTAATTTCATACGTTATCTACACGCTTTGACTACTGAGATCCAAAATGTTTTTAGGTGCTTTTCTATCATTAAGAACATAATAACTTTAGGGATTGAAATGTTGGCAACTCTGCTAGGAATAAATTATAAAACTGCTTCTATAAATTTTCTTAAATGACATTTAGCAACGTTCCATATGTACTCACTCAATGTACAGATATTTAAGTCTTATCTTATAAATTGAAGGTTTCATTAATGTTTACTATAACATGTCCCATGAGATGCTCTCAGTTAAATTATGACATTACAATGTTCACCCCCACTTTAGTTGCAGCTCACCTTTGCCTGCTTTGCTGCTCTTGCTGCAGCTTCTGAAATGATAAGCAAAACATTTTGTTCTCAAATCAAAGCCTACCTAAATATTTTTTCATTGGAAAAAAATTAAATATTCCCATTAAACCATGTACACTACTAATACTTTCTTACCTGAAACATAGATCTGCATCAAAGTTGTCATCACTTTCTGAGCATCACCACTTACTGTTATGAAACAAGAGAAAAAAATTAGGCAGCCCTTATTCAATCTATAAAAAAAGTAATGCCATTTCTTCAAAATTGTCCATGGAAGGGTTTGTAGGATTTTGAAACCGACTTTAATTAAAAAATATACATGTACTTCTGGCATGACTGTCCTTAAGTCCCTATCAGTATTCCTCTACTGAATTGTCAAACTCAGTATACCTTTTCCTATTAATGATAATAGAAATTTTTTTTTTACCAAATCTTTTCACTTTGGTATTGAGATAATATAGTTCTAAATAGCCTAAAAAAGTAAAAGGATGTGAAACTGCAATAAAACAGTCCTCATTCTTGGGTAAGTCCTAAAAGTTTCTGTTGAAATGGCAATGGTGTGGCCTTAATCATTAAATCTAAATTTACCTCTTGTTTTCTCATCTTTAAATTGCATCTGTAACAGCTTCAGAATAGTTTCCTGTAGAATAAGAAAAATGAAGAATGAAGATAAAAGAGCACTTACTAATAATATGAGCTGTGATATAAACAACACCAAATCAAAGCAGCAGTAGCTAAAGGGACTTAACTCCATGTTTCCTGTCTTTAGCTTGTCTATTTTTCCCTCCAATTAAAAAATTGAGAGAGAGGGAGCAAGTCGTTATAACGATAATGTGAAACAAATGCATGGTTGAAACTGTACTAATAAGGGCAGCATTCACTGATCATGAGGATTCAGATTGTACACAAGGAGCTGGTTGATGTGGAGACAGACATTACATGTACTTGTACCTGTGCCACTCTGAAGACAGAGACAGAGCTACTGATACTTCCTGAAATATCGGTTTAAATATCGATAGGAGTACTAGTACTGTATTTATAGGTTCTGTGGTACTTGCATTTTTCAGGTTTTGATGGAGAAATCTGACTCATTTTGAGAGGTCAGATCAGATCAATGCAGCCCTGGATGTGCTGATTGATGGACTTGATTTGCTTCCATTTCATTTCTAATGTTTACCCCAAATTGGCTGTACTAGTATTTGTATACCGTGTTGTCAACGTACATAAAGTACATTTGGCAATTTATCAAATTGAATTTCTATTTTTTTATTACAGCAGTTACTAGTGTGTTATAATACTAGTACATGTAAGAGTGCTTGTAACATAAGACAAGGTAAAGTCTCAAAACGCCATTTTGACCAATTCCTATGTTTTTTTTAAACAAAAATCTGAAAATCTTCCGATCTCTCTATCTCAGAGTCCTGAAGGTCTTCAATTGCCAAACTAATTTATTTGAAAAGCATGTAGACACTGATAAGAAATGTCCTGCCAACTGGTAATAACTGAATAAGTTGAGACGTCAACAGGCACACGTCAAAAGCCACGCTACAAATTCGTTCATTTTTACAAGAAAATAAAACACAGCTTCAGGGGATATGTCATCCTGTCTGAATACCGTCACCTCTTAGAGTTTATATAAATATAAGTTTCTGAGTGACACGCATAAGACTGGTTACGGTTATGACATATGATTTTCGACTTTGGAATCTGAGCGTACAAACCTGTTTAAAATTTGCTCGACCCGCCATTTTCGGACATTCAATATCTACAATACAAAAGTTCACTCAACATTTTACTGTTTGGGCATTTACGATTCAAAAATTCAGAAAAATTTCGATATTGTTTTGATATTTTTAGAAGTAAATGTTAAAATAATAACCTATTATTATAAATATAAACACATCCATAGAAATACTGGTAGAATAACGTATGGAGTCTAACGCCATATACACGCGCGTTACTAGTGATTTCGACAATTTTTCGCACACGGCTTTTTTTTCTCTCTTTACCGTATATTCAGTTCAAACATGAGGATTTCTTAGTTCGAGGGGAAGGAGACAGGAAAAAGATAGAGGGAAAGAACCCAAGCAAGTCCATTAAAATTAATTTTTTACGGTAGATCTATATCAATATTTTTGTTTTAATTTAAAAAATTTTAAATTGTCACATTTTTACCAGGGGAATTAATTAAAGGCATAATAACTCTTCGCTTTGTCCAAAAAATGAAATTTTCTTGAGTAAACAACAATTTTCCCTTAGTTACCAATAGTTAATGAATCCATTTTTACATTCAAAGTCAGTCCCTGTTTTTTTCTAAAAAGTTTTTTTTTTCTTTGTTATAATCACTTAAGAGATCATAACAGAGTATATAGCCATCAGTGGAGGTCACGTGGTCTAAAGACAAGCTTAGATATCAGAATAATAGCTATAACTGCTGTTTTTGTGGTACAACAGAATATATTAGGCTGCATGGAAAATCTATTTTCTAAAAATCTATTCGCGGTATCTTGTGATCACAGTCTGTGCCCTGAATATCCCACGGCGTAATTACGGGCAGCGCGAGCCAGTTACTTCAAAAGCTGTAATTAATTCTCGGCGCTGCCAGTAATTATGCCGCAGGGTATTCAGGGCACAGACCGTGATCACAGGATACTGCAAATAGATTTTTCATGTGAACGCAGCCTTATACTTCTCATGAAGTAATACATGTTAATTCAAAAAAAAAAAAAAAAAAAAAAGCATGCACATCACAATCTACTGGGGTATACTACATGTATAAGGTATACATGGTGTATGTAACATAATTTTACCATAACTTATGGCGTAAGTGCTGGGACCTTATTAGCTAAGTTATGATAGTCAGGTGTGAACCTTTTAATGATTGGATATCACTTTGCATATCAAATCACTGTATGCAGAAATGCTAACCTCTGAAATTGTAAAATCTGGAAATTCTAAAATTTTGCTCAGTATGGGGTTGGGGTGGGGTGGGGTGGGGTGGGGGATTTGCGGAGTGGTCACTGCCGTTGTGCTCAGTGTGGGAGGGGGGGATGGGGAAGTGAACACTTTTGAAGTTTTCAAAAGATCACACAACTATTCTTAAAACATCATTTTTTAATAGTTTTGCGTGTAATACCTATGCAAATTATCGCTTTTATATGGGAGATTAGGTTACCCATATGGGAGACTGGGAGATTCGTTCTGTATCCGAGAGAGTCCCAGATTATCTGGGGGAGTTGACATGTATGCATATGGATCTTTAAGACTGGATTCCTATACCTAGATCAATCTGATAGGATCGATCCACTTCCAAGGGGTTTCTCTCTAAATTGTTTTCAGCTTAAGTGGCTTATATGTCTGATATGCCTACTGAAGCTGCTAACAATAATCAATTACTCCCTATTATAATATATAGCTCCAGTAGGCGTACGTGACAGACATCAAAGCCACTTAAGTTGATTGCAATTTAGCGAGAATCTCCTAGGAGAAAGATTGATCCACAGTTAGCACAACAGGGTCTGGGAATGATCCCTAAGTAAGAAATAAATAAGTTATCATAGATGCATCATTATGATAACTTCTTAATGACTGGTCATGACTCTATAAAATTAATACTCTTGCAAGCTCAGGCATTAAAATGATGTAGTATACCCTCCATAGTATAGTAACCCATTATTTTTTTATAACCATCATCTTTGGCCCAGGTTAATTAATAATTATCAAAACAACATACTGACTGAAAGCAAAGGTCAATGGTTTTATTATGAAATTAATTTAATATTTAAATGTCACTATCTTAATTGCAACATTTCTACCATATTCAACACTGTTGTTATCTGACTGACTATACATACACACATCAGGTGGCTAAAAAATTACTAATTTTAAAGTTCAATTACTTCAACAATTTTGAATATATATATATATATATATATATATATATATATATATATATATATATATATATATATATATCAGGAAAATGTTTTGAGTAATTGCTAAAACCTGATAATGATGTTTTGAGTAATTGCTAAAAATTTCATATTCTACCTTTCTTAGTTTAGGCACACCAAAAAATGAAAATTTTAAGTCAAAAATTGACATGCTTGTCAATGTGTTTTTGATTTGATGATAATATCAGAACTGTTTCACTATAATACTAGAAATTTCATGGTTGTCCGATTATATGTGTATCAAAAATCTGTGCAACATTTCTGTTGAAAAGCTTCTAGTGTAGTTATTGAACTTTGAAATGAGTAACGTTTTATTTGAGATGTCTTTTTCTCTCACGATTGGTAAAAAGCTACATGTCACTGGTCAATATTACGTTTGGTGATATGACAAAGGTCATTATTGAGTTCAATCAGACCTTGACTTCCCAAATACTTGATTGCATTCTATGCAAATTATTTATAATAATTCAAATTACCCAACTCTTCCTGTTTGCCCTACAAATTCCATGATTTACATTTACATTTGGAAAGTCCATTGATGGCTGTTACAATGAACTAAAGTTGAGCATAAAATTTGTACTATATGGCACATCATACACAAAAGACAGACAAAGATAAAATGTTTTTACAGATATCTTTGTCCTAAAAGCTTTAAATAATAATAATAATAATAATAATAATAATAATAATAATAATAATAACAGGCCCGTAGCCAGCAAAATCACAAGGGGGGTTCTTTTTCTGAAAAAGTGGACCTTTTACTATGAAACTTATGTGTACCTAGATCAAATTTTACCCAAAATGGACCTTTTCCTGACAAAGGGGGCGGTTCTTTCGAACCCCCCGAACCCCCCGGCTACGGTCCTGAATAATAATAAATATAAAAATACGAGGAAACCCAGATTCAGTCGAAATTGTAATAATTTCTTTCCCATCTGAATAACTGTGCGTCTTGAAAATTTCATCAAAATATGCAGAAGACATTTTGAAATATCTTGATTAAAAACCATATGAAAAGACAACCCATTTCATTTGTGGATCGTAATTATGCATACTATTGAATGTTATTGCTATGCATCACGCCCTTGGAATTCAGGGCAGAAACCACCAAATAATTTCCCATTGACGCCCATACTAAGAAATGCCTGCAAAACTGCATGAACAAAATGATTAAATGAAACATTTCNGGGGGGGGGGGGTTCGGGGTTTGAAAGAACTGCCCCTTTTGGTGGGAAAAGGTCCACTCTGGGTAAAATTTGATCTATGTTCATGAAGTTTTTATGGAAAAAGGTCCACTTTTCAGAAAAAGAACCCCCTTTTGAAATTGCTGGCTACAGGCCTGAATAATAATAATAATAACAATAATAATAAAGACACATATCATATTTGCTGAGCTGACAATTAGAGGAAAACATGTTATCCTTTGCAGTGAGATTCCATCTGACACAAGAGAATTGCACTACATCAAAGCAAATGACAATATATTTGAAATATATTTTATTACATAGCACCTGACACCAAACACCAACTTGCAATTGTCTACAACAAAGTATACACAATATGTGTCATATAAAAGTGTCTATGTAACATGTCAGTCTTTTGTAACAATCATGTAATGTGTGCAATAGGCTAACAAAACAAAGTATTCCATACTTTGAAAATGTAGAATTCTCATCAGCTAAAAGCTGCAATTGGAGAGCCTTTTTGAAATTGAAAATCTAAACCAAAACAGGCATAAACAGACCAGCTGCCAGTAAATTAACAGAACACATTGATCAATCCCTCTGATGTTTCAGGAAAAAAGATTAAATCTCACCACATAAAGCATTAACTAAATAAGTAGTATATATACTACTGTGTCAGTGTGCAAGCTGAATTATACAATTTATTTCTACACCTTAAAAGTACAAGATAAGTCTATAAATCAGAAAATACATTGATATTGGTGTCTCCTGGTGAGCTGCTTGTAACCATTTATACTTTAAGTTATTGATTTGAATCTTTTAAATCACACATCTTATAACTGGTGCTAGGAGGAAATGTTGCAGGAACTTAAAATTTCTTCCACAAGCACCAATGTTAAAATTTCCTATATATATATCTATAAAACCACATATATACTTACGTATTTAAACAGAACTGCATTTCACATTAAATTCATAAAAAAATACACAATTAAGATGCAAGTTTCTCACTTTTCAATAATTTTGTACATAATAGTCTTCTGGTTATCATCATAAGACAATTTTATTTTCTCAGAAAATTTTGCCTCAGTTCCAGTAATTGGTGCTCAAANTCCCTTCAAAATCGAAAACCTGGATATATATTCGACCATTTTATTAATTTTAAGCCAATTTCGTATTTGGAAACAATTTCCTCGCAATATAGTCCCTCGCTATACAAAAGCATTTTCGGACACGTAAAATTTTCAGTTTTCTTGATTCGGAGAGAAATAATTGTAACTCTGTACAGTGCATTGACAAAAGCTTACAGTTTTTCAATAGACGGATAACTCCTCGTTTAGTCTCTAAAATATGGAAAGTCAATTCACTGTAGTTTTTTCGCAAAGTTTATTTATTTCAGACGTACGCATTTTTCATCGCGCCGCTTTTTTGGCGCTATTTCGTGACGCGGATGTACCAAAAAATCCATGACGTTTCAAATCACACCTAAATCCTGACAGTATGTGTCCTACTGAAGATGAGTAAAAACAATAGACTTGCCCTTCAAGAAAACGACGGAAAATAGCTCTTTTTCAATTTTGAATGGGCACTGTAGAAAACATATAACAGCTAAAGCTCTCAAATTAAGCACATATGTGTGA